TATGTCACATTACCCTTCATTACACGGGAGCGCTTGAGCTTTGTCCGGATAGCGACTAGGCTCTGGATAATCTCGCCCTTGTCGACCTCGTGATAGCCCCGGGTATTTGCAAAGGAGATGGTAGAGCAGTACAACGCGCCGTACTCGCTCGCGGTCGTCGACAAGGTTTTACGCTGATATTTGCGGAGTGTCGTTGAGGGAGGAAGGAACGAGAAGACGCTGTAGAATGTCGCATGAGTAAACGAATACATAAATGGAAAGTGAAGACGCACAAGGCAGCAGTAACACCAGCCGTAACGAGGACAAATCTCCGCTGATACGCTATGTTTATTCACGCGAACATACCGCAAGCGCTGTTGGGACATACCCAAGCGAGCTGAAATCCTTTGTAATGGAACGCGGTGGGGAAACGAGTGGCCTGCCACGAATATCCAACAACCTGAACGCGAATACTGTCAGCAGCGAAGATAGCGCACGTACTCGTGGAAGGAGCCCACCAGCGCAGCGGTGGTAAAAAATATCTTGTTTGTCATTTGTGGTCCAGGCCAATACAAACGGCCATAGAAGAAGAATGGAAAGCACACGGCGCAAACTGTGGCAAGGCCGTACGGGTTGCCTTTCCCGCTGCCGGCGGAGATATACCACATTACCATCCCGACGAGGCCGCCGAGAAAGGTGGCCGTGACTCGCGCAACAAAGCCAAAGGTGGTGTCTCCACGGAAGCGGGCGAGGGTGAATTGACCCATAGTACTGAATCGTTGAAGTCTGTTAACTCGGGTGATGGACACCAGGTGCTGGAAACGTACATTCCCCAGAAAAAGCGTTGACCTATATGGGATGTGAGCAACTTCTGCGATCCTAGATGCTGTGAAAACACATACTGTAAGCAAAATGCGCCGTGCTCTTTAGGAAATTTGGTATGCAGAGGAGAACTACCATCCCCTTCGTCAACCCAGAACAGGAAGAGGTATAAATGAGGGACTTCACCTGTCAAAATCCCTCCCTTGAGCGCGAACACCGAATTGCCACGCGACAGGGCCATGATTCCCTCATAGATATGCCATATCACCTTCTGAAAGGGGTTCGTCGGGGGCAAGGCATCCGGGTCCCGGCGTGAGGGAGCACAAAGATATTGGTTCCATTCCGGCTCGATTCCCTGGATGACATCTATGCAAAATATGAGAGAGGTCACAAGGAGAGCAAACTGTGGGGATATCTTACCGGGGTCTTCGTCGTCGTCGCGCTCACCATCATCTTGGGGATCCCAAGGGCTCCAGGCGATAAGTTTCCGGATTGGAAGACGCATCGTCCAGAGTCGTGCTTCCGGATAGGTGTGTTCTAAGCGGATCATCTCATCCAGCTGTGTACAAGAGTATGTCAAATATGGGCCCAGGACGGTAGCCAATCACACTTACCATATCGATGAGAAGGACGCCGAATTGCATGGCGTGATATTGATACATGAAACAATGGAAAAGATAACGGTGAGGCGGCGGTTCAGTAGCGCCACCCTGGTTGCCAACACGATGGGAATCAAATGTTGAGCGATATGGGTCCAAGACGCGATGCCTACAATAACTATATGTGTGAGCTCCACTCAAGTCGGGACAACGGAGAACTGACCTCTTCTGCTTCCTGAATCGCTCGAGGATATCGTGCAGTTTCTTTCGCAGCGTTATGAGATTCTGTAATTTCCTCGCCCGCTGCTGCTCGAGCTTCGCCGTGCTCCAGAAATTTTCTCGTCTCACGTTCACGAGCCAAGTGTTCACACCTGTGATTGCCTCTGCACACCCACTGAAGAGCTCGTCGCAGCTCTCACTTAGCAATTGCGTAAAGCGTTCCGTCACCTCCATCGAATCCGGGTGGCTCAGACGTGTCGCCTCCAGCTCGAGATAGCGCCGGCTCTCATACACGCCGACGGGCGGTTCGGGCGGGTTCGCGGCATTGACCCGCGGGAGTGCAAGCGAGTGCGCGAGATAGAGGAGGGAGAAATGCAGGTGGTGGCCATTTACCACATCGCGGAGACGTCGCAATGGCAGATGCAGATGCCGGGGCAAGTTCGGGCGGAAGGAGACGCGGATCACCGAGTGCGTGTCCTCACACCGGTGACTATGCTGTGAAGAGCTTGGCGAGGACTGCCGCGGCTCGGGGGTCTCGATGCGCTGACTGCTGGGCGAGGTCGTGTTGAGGCTCGGAGTCGTAGGTGGAGATGTGGAAGGCGTCGTGGGCTGCGATAACGTGGGCGATCCAGGGCGGGAGTGCCTGGGGGTACCAGTGCGTGACGGGACGGGCGTGATAGGGAAACGCTCGCGTGTGGGCTCGATGAGAGTGAAGAAGACTCCCATACCATTCGCGCGCATGACAAGCCGGCGCACCCACCAATGAAACCCGCCAATGTCCGTTGGCGCGAACCTACCCCAGACAATATCATGTTTCAGCAGGCGCAATGCCGCAGCGCTCGGCGTAAGCGAGCTCTCGCTCTTCCCGACCAAGTCGTTGATCTTCGCGACCGCCGCCGAAAATTCGGAGGAGCGCGGCGAAATCTGAAGGATACGGCGGTGCTCCAGGATCGCGCTGCGCAGCGGGTCAAGCACTCGGACGACCGAGCCCGTGTACTGCGCGGTGATGGTGGAGGGGAAGAGAGTCGCAGAGAGGACAAGGGAGAGCGCGGAGTGGAACGCGATAGGGAGGACAACCCAGCGCCCGGGTTGGTACTGTGGATAGGGATACAGCACTGCCGTAGTCAGATGCAGGTCGAGCGCGGTACAGCCGAACACAGTCGCGGCGTTATATGGCCCGGGACCTTGACGCGCCTTGATGTACAAGAAGACGGCAGTGCCGAACAAGAGGAACACGGCCATGATGACCGTCGGTCCCGCCTCGATGTAATGGCCAGTAATCACTTGTGATTGGGTGGCATTGGGCACAAAGTTCCTACGTGCCTGATTCGCGACGAAGACGCCTAGCACACCCCAACTGGAAAAAAATGTGAGCAGTTGACAGTCTATTAGGATATGTAGACCTACGCCCAGCCAGCTGTGGCAAATGAAAGTAAGAGAAACTTTCGCTCAACACAGGAGATGAAGGGAACGCTCGGAGGATCGAAGAATGCCGCTGCAAGTTGAGATAAGCATTCCCGTTGTTTGATACAACTCTTGATGCAACTGACCTACAATAATCATGAAGCTTGCCTGAAGACAAGTCAGTGTCTGAATATTCAGGAGCGGAAACATCGGCAGCGGTGACGGCTCAGACTCGAAGATTGTGCAAGCGGAGAATGTCACTTCATACAATAATTCTCGACGACGTCCATGATGCAGATGTTAATAGACTAGGCGACGCGTCAACGCGTTGATGCACTAGCGGCGGCCAAGCACTCCGACATGTGGCGGATGAGAACTCATAACATTTGGATCATCCCCCGTGGTCTCGGGAAATGGACACTTAACAACGAGAACCTCACAGCCTCGTTGGAGTGTTGCAAGCGTGCGGTTGTGTCCAGGTTGTCGACGCGCTGTTCTCACGCTAGTCGTAGCAGTATTTCGCGCGAGAGCGCCGTGGCCTGCCGCCTGAACGCATAAAGCGCCTGTCATCCGAAAGGGCACCTCGCGTTCCTTGCTGTTCTCATATCAATGGGCCTAACCACGAAAAAACTCACGCACAGCGCAGACCCCAAAAAAGCCCCTTGGAGAGCGGCTGTAGAGTCGGGCATTGCGCGCAGCATCGGGCGCGGATGCCTTCTGACTATACGCATGTGAGAGGTTAGGCCATCACTATGAGGATAGCAAGGGGTCACTCGTCGACGGCGTGCATGAAAACTGCATGAGACAATACAGCGCAGAAGTATGCCCAGTTGCATCCGCCCCTGGGCGGCGTATTACCGCGGCATATTACCTGACCGCGCCGGGACACAGCGATTTGTATGTAACATGAAGCGCAGTAGAGCGGGTCGGCGTCGAGGATACAACAGTACAGAAAATGTACAGAGTAACCAAAAGTCAAGGACGAATACTCACCTGGCCGAGAATCATCTCCGTGCGTGTGATCAGCATGAACAAAAGTGACAGCCAGGCGACGACCGCGCATCGGATGACAGGCTGGAGCTTTGGCCAGGTACAATTGTCCAGTATCCACTGGTAGTCGAATGACAGCATCTTCATCAGTCCTGCCCACGCCTGTGAGAAAGATAACCACCAATGAATACGTTTGTCACGTTTGTCATCTTCATCACTGTCCCTCGATGTTGAATGATACGTCGGGGGACTGGACGACAGGCTTGCAGCAGGGCATTCTTGCACTCGGACGTGCTTCGTACCGGACTCGCGAGACCGCTGGGAGTGTGAACGGTCATTAGCTGGCTCTTGCTCGTCTTCCATCAGCCCGACCACCATGCGAGGGTCGCGATGTTCTCGCTGCGGCGCCGCGTTCGTCGCAGGTACTTCAGACTGGGCAGACCGCAGAGGCGTCTGCTCCTGTTCTGCCATCTGATCACAAGTCCGAGGTCGTGCGAGCGTAGTGGTCGCCGTAGACGTGAACGATTAGCTTGTGTCATAATGTGAAGCCGTCCGGGTGATAGTTGGTCTCAAGTTAATCTCAAAGAGCTCTCGGCAAGCGTCAGGACAGCGTCAGTCAACCCTAACCCAGGTCCAAGATGGCTCAACGACGCTTACTGATATGTTTCTGAGGGTTTACTCTTCGCCAGAAGCTCCGGCCCTCCGGGAGCACGCTAGGTCAAACTGCCCGCCCTCGCGCTCTTGCATTTGATGTTGTGGTCATGCAGAACCGTGCTCCATGCCACATGGAGGGCTGCCTTGGACAGCCGAGTACGACCTGACCACTTGTGGTCATACAAAACCGTTTGGCTCGCAAGCCGCGACGCTCCCCAGTGCCAACGGAGGTGCGCCGCTGCAAGACGTTCGTGTCTTCCAACGACACCGAGCTGCCAAAATGAGAAAATGGCCAGTGCGTCCATCGGCGAAAGACGTGGAGACAAAATTTCATGCCCACTGGCTGATTCGAACAACCGACCTTACCATATCATGAGATATGTACGAGTGGCACGCTCTACCAACTGAGCTAAGCGGGCGTTGCAAAACTCACTGTCCACATATATACATCCACAAACACATAAGTAAGTGAAAGAAGCACCTGCATGCCTCTACTTGCCCGCGATGAATGAACTAGCTTCGAAAACCTGCAAATCGATGCATACCCGTCACGGGAGGTTGCTGAGTAATCCGACGGGTTTCATTATTTCATTACCCTAGAATAGCATAATTACATCCGAGTCAAATGCAATGTTCAGCCTTCAACGATTGAGCTTCCACACTCCATCCTTGACAGTCACTAATCCTTCTCTCCGCGCAGCCTCCATAAAGCTCGCAAGCTGCTCGATAGTGCGGTCGTATCCAGGTGCAAGTTTGAGCATACTCTGTATACGATCCAGACTGAGTTGTCCCAGATTCGTGAGCATGCCCTCGATGAACTAGGATTTGTGTGAGCCACAACCATTCGCATAGTAAGCATAATCGAGTAATACCTTCCAGTATACTTTCATCTGCTCGGCTTGCTGCTGTTGCACGGTCATTATGGTCGGTACCTCCTCCACGGCGGGCAGATCTGCAGGGAAGCTGAGAACTCAGAACGGTCACGGCGGCTTATAACTTACGTTGTATGGCTGCTGCCGAGCTCGATGTTGGCACCTCTTCGGCAACCTCCAGCAGTCGATACACGCTATCCCCTCCCGCCTTTAAAACGCCCATATCCACCCAGGTCGCAAGAGCTTTTGCAGCAGATATTCGATCGATCGATCGAACCCTTGTTGTGAGCTCATCTATCGTCCATATATCTGCCGCGCCGTCAATTGTCTGGTCATACATCAAGAAGCAGCAATGATACAAACCTTTTTCGGAGAACAGCTCAATGAACGCCGCTTCCAGCAGTGAAACATCTGCAGAAACCGTCCGGTCCTGGAGGGTAAGCTCGAGCTTAATAGATCCGAGTTGGGGCAGCCATCGCAATCTCTTGTCGGGTTTGAATGTCGTATATTGCTTGGAGTACTCATCCTGTAACCTGAAGAACGAAATCAATGATATCTCTTTCAGTCTGGAAAGGCGCTGCATACTCCTTAAGCTGCCCTGGCATGGTGAGAGTGCTAGATTGTAGGGGCGGCCAGAAATGTCCGGAAATGATGGTAGGATGAAGCGACAACTGCGAGCAGATTTAAATCACAATCCAACATGTACATAACATTACGTACGCTTTTCTGAGATTGAACATGCTGATCTATGCGTTTAGAGTCTGTCATGTCTCTCAACATGACCTCGCAAACTTGCAGTGCGGATTCCCCGAACCGTATCTTGAGAATCTCAATATTCCGTCTCTGACCACAGCATAAAGTTGAGTGCGAGGTCTATGTCTTCTAACTTTCGCTGAAGTACGTACTTCTCGTTCGAAATTGCCATCTTTTATTGACAGCAGCCGTTGCGCGAGAAGAACTTGTAATTCCTTCACGAAGAGGTCCTTCGAGTCATAGATGCTAACCAGTGTGCTGATGACATCGCTCGGTTTATTCGTACGGAACTCTGGCCAGAAATGAGCCATCCATGGACCGTACAAGACGGCAACGGCTAACTGACCTGGGCCAGCATCAATAGGCTCTGGTTCCCAATTGGGGTCAGTGTAATCTTCGACCTGCAGTTGCTGCAACGGCTGTATGGGCTCATTCTCGTCGACAAGGGAATCTCCACTCTCGCCGTCCCCAACAAGACTCGCAACAATACAACGGATAGTGTCTGGGCGTTCCCTGTAGAAGATCTCATAAGTGAAGCATTCATGCATAGGTTATGGTACATACCTGAGGTATTTCCTGATTGGATCAGCCACCTTGTACAGCAGAACGCCAGGTGGGTCAACAATTCGGAGGCAACGGATAATGGACACGTATTGCAGCAAGATATCCTTTGTATCCGCACCGGGGTGGAGGAGACGCTTCTTATTCCTATATAGCGTAAAGCAGTCTTAAATTGGTGGTTCAGGGAAGGGAAGGGAGAAACTCACGCCTTCCGCAAAGTTTGCACTAGCTCCGTTCGCTGGTCAACCCGCTGTAGACACTCCTGAGACAATATCAGAGCCAATATCACAAGAACGACTTGTGGGGTGTGCGTACTTTGAGGTCTTGCAAAGCGCAGAGTGAATCCGGGTAGTCAACGATGATATCAAAGATCTCTTTTGTCCTAAAATAAACAGCGTTAGTTTGGGATCGAGAGGTGAGGCTCAAAAGAACGGACCGTAAATCACTCAGTGTCTTGCAAACGTGAAAGTCGAATCTTGAGCCAATTCCCTGTAGCATCGACCGTGCTTCATCCGCTATAGCGTAGGTGATCTCACTGAGTTTCTGATATAAAAATCTGGTGACAACATGGTGACTCACTATTTCGTGCACCTCTTGCATATGGCATGATCATCCACGGGACAATCTTCTCCGCCATCCACTCCCGCAGGCGAGCCAACATCGGTTCTCCCCATTTACCTGCACATGTCTCCTGGATGTGCGCCTCGATATGTTCATAGCAGACGCTGGATATTAAAGATTCGTATCGGTCGAGAAGTCCCAGTTGGTCAAATGCACTCCATAGGGGTACGTCCGGCCTCTTCGGATTATAGTACGCCAACGCAGGATGATGCGCCCACGTCGGAAGTGTATCTGAATCGATGAGAGTCAATGTCGAAGCCACCAGGGCCTTGAAGCCGCTGGCAAAGGAGGGTGGGAGAATGGAGAAAGTCTGGGTGTGGAAGGCGAGCGTATACGCTGAGAGGATAGTGTATCCTAGTCTGATATATGCCGTGTCAACTCGATACGGGACTGATTCGCAATGTACTTACTCAGGAATAGGAGCCCATGCCTTGTACCATTCCACTAGTCGGAGCACGAGTCCAGCGATGTACTGGCAATCCTCCGTACTCTAAAAAAATTCAATCAGTTTATGCGACGTCTGTGAATGGAGGAGAAACAGACATCATACTGTGACATGAATTGGTCAACCTCTCGTTCAATGAGGTACCTCTGCTTCCGCATGCTCTCTGATCCGCCTCAGTATAACGACCTGGTCAATGCTGACCACCACCCACCTAGGAAGTTCTCGAGAAGCATAGGAAGCATCTTTGATTTGCTCAGTGTATCAAAGGCACCCCTTACTTCCTGCATATCTGTTCAGATAAGCGAGATGTCTGCATGCTCAATCAATCGTCCTCACCATGCTCCTTCTTTGGTGCAGGATCCGCCAGGTCCCGGGGTTGAAGAAAGTCTGCTGCGATTGTCCATGCCTAAATTGAGCATACGGTCATGCCACATATTCATTGAAGCAGCACGGAAAGGCATTAACCTCACTGAAGCTCAGCAGTCCCGAGATTCCTGGTTCACCACGGTTCAAGCGAGAGAATGCGCTTTGCCACTTGCCGGCGATCTGAGCGCGAAGCGCATCGGTCGCCATCGTCGGAGATAACACTGCGCAATGTCTCCAGGGATCAGAGCCGTCGGTTACTCATGCAAAATGGTCTTGAGACTTGGATTCAGAGATGGGAGGTCGGGTCGGGGTCGTGGCCGCGATCGCGAGAGACGCGTCGTTGAAGCGCGCGACGCCGCGACGCTCCTGAAATAAATAAATCTTGATGCAGCGCAAGCCAAACTCTCGGATAGTTTGCATCTGCTCTAGATATTCACCTCTACCTAAGTGGCAGCGTCGTGGTCTAAGACCTAAATCTCGCTTGCTCTACTGTCTTGACGATCATGGCCCCTGCCGGAGACTCCGCTCAAGACCTCAGCGGCACGCCGTACACTTTTGTTTTTAAGCGCGTCGACGATGCAGTACTATCTCTGGACTTGTATCCTCCCCTACTATCTCTCCATACGGTTACAGAATTCAAGCCAGACGCCCAAGAGTTCGTTCCAGATGTTCCCGCTGTGGTCTACTTCCATGGAGGCGGGTTGACTGTTGGAGATCGGAAGAGCTGGTTGCCGGTATGGCTCAGAGGTGGGTCTAGAACCATGTCATGCGACACCCTTTTTCTATATTTCTCTATTTCTGGCGGAAATCTTTGCACCGTTATCAACTGACAGACCATTTTCAAAGACCGTGTGACGAACAGGGGCATGCTATTCATTTCTGCGGAGTACAGGCTGATACCACCGTCAACTGGCCACGACATGCTCGCTGATGTCAAGGATCTCTTCCACTTCCTCCAACATCATATCAATGGTCTGCTGCGGGCTGAACGAGCACGAGTCCTCGGGCAATATGACCTCGAGCGGCGTTACTACCGCCCGAATTTCCAGGTCAACCCGAATTGTATTGCGGTCGCAGGCAGCAGTGCCGGTGGGCTGTGTGCATATCTGGCCGCCACGCATGCATCCCCAAGACCGAAAGCTGTCTTATCCCTATATGGCATGGGAGGAGATTTTATGGTTAGTACTATCGCCACCCCGTCCCTCGTCCGCTGATATGCACGGGCCTTTACGTAGACCTCTCACTATCTGTCTCCTAAGACGGAGGTCTTCTTTCGGGGTCGCGAACTGCTTGATGCCAGCCAGTTCTCCGAGTACCTGTATCCTCAGTGCCTCACACTCAAGGCAACTGCTGACTCTGCACTCACCTACCACTCGGGTGATTCCCCAACCCCAGGACTTCCTTCCAACCCGCGCATGTACCTTGCGAGGTTATATCTCCAGAAAGGGGTTTATCTGGACTATTACACGGGCTGTCATGATCCGAGCATCAGCAAAACCCTGAGACACTTGCATTCCGGCGAAGACGGGTCAGAGAGCACGTCTTGCTCGCACATCCTCATTCCAGCGGAGCATCTTCCCTTATTCCCTCAGTATGCCGTATCGGCTGACTGGCCACCGACATTTCTGATACACGGTACCTCGGACACTGCCGTGCATGTCCACGAATCGCTATGCATGGAGTCGGCGTTGCAGAGTGCCGGTGTCCGGGTGGCGCTCAGGGCAATCGAAGACGAGGAGCATTCATTTGACTACGCTCCGGGTGCCGAAGAGCAGTTTGGACAAGCGGGGGGTTTATTTGA